ACCAGAGATTTTATTTTTAAATACATGGCCACAAGAACTGGTTGGTAGGACACACAAAGCGGCCATTGAAGTTATGCTGGATGCTGCAAAACCCCGCGATCACATCTTACTGGAGGGACACTAAAGCGCCGACAGTGGAAGTATATTTCCGTAAATTATGGAATCACTATCACTACCTGATGGATGCAGTCACTAACAAATTGAATTACACGTCTCAAGACGCAACTCAGGATACATTTACTGGTAAATGGTACCCAGTTCTAGATTACTTGGCTAAACAGCAATATATTTCCTCTGAATGTCCCAACTTCAAAAATGGATTTGATGTTTTGTTCTTAATTATTACGTCTCAAGACGCAACTCAGGATACATTTACTGGTAAATGGTACCCAGTTCTAGATTACTTGGCTAAACAGCAATATATTTCCTCTGAATGGTCCCAACTTCAAAAATGGATTTGATGTTTTGTTCTTAATTATTACGAAATGGTTCTAAAAGTATGTATATTTCGTTTGCATTTAGATATTTAGTTAAATTGGTATTTATTCATTTAAATTACGGACTGAGTACATATAGTTCACACTGGAGTGAAGCTGCGTAACACTCAGACAAGTGAATGCGTTTATATGACTTCATCATGGTTGAAATGGATAAGATGACAAGGAAGCTGAATAATATGGCAGCAGAAGACTTTTTTGAAGACTGGAAAGACTTAAAAGAATATTTGGAAAAATATTGGGATGTGAGAGACAATTTATTTTGCTTTGATAACTATTGAGTATAGAAAATTGTGAAAAAATAAGTTACCTGTTGAATATGTAAAGATAAAAGAGGAGTACTTAAGAGTAACCTAAGGATTATGCAGGAGGTTGTAGCACTGTGGGAAGCCATATATAGGGGGGGAAGGGAGGAGGGTAGGATATAACACAAATGTTGTAACACAAATGTTGAACTTTGTTGAATATATCCTAAAAAAAATGTTTACAAAAAAAAATATATGACCTCTTCATCGAGGTAAGATTTGAAATATACACAAACAGTTTCATAAGGGTTTAATGATGTTCTTGTTGAATCACAGAGTTTCATATCAACAATAATGAAAAAAGGTGTGTTATATTTGTATATGTTATGTGTTTGCAACTCTTAACACCAATAAAAACTTTAAATAGTAAAAAAAAAAAGACAAGCAGCTCACCTCCTTCTCTATCAAACGCAATGGATACTTGAGATTCGGGTCTTGCAAGGTAACTGGATTACTCTTCTTTTGAGAGCCCATTGCCTTAAAAAAAAGCAATAGAATGGATGCCGCACCACCCACCAATGCAATCAACACTGTGATATTCTAGAAGAGGAACATAACACAGAAAAGATTTTTAAGGTTTTACAGCACAGACAAACAAAACAGCCCATCACATCATTTGCCACAGCCAAAAGCCTTTGCTACAAAGTTGTGCAAGGTTAGGACATTTCTATAGCCTTCAACACAGAAAATGCCTACTCAATTGTCCCTTAACTTCATAATTCTATGGTTAGTCTAGAAACGGAGGATTGTTCAATTCTACATAGTTCACTTCACAGCCATGCGAGAATGCAAGCGTTCTTGAAGTTCCCAAGTACAACTGGAGTGAATTAACTAGATAATCCTGCATTGGATGCACAGAAGCACACAGAAGGGGAATGTCAGCTACCAAACCATTCTTCTGCCCATACACCAGACTCTTCCCCGTATTCCATACAATTCTGGATTTACTGCCACTCTGTAGTTTTGCTCACTATGAACTAACTATGAACATAGATTATAATTTGGCTGGTAATTTTTGCAAGTTATTTCTAAACAACACCCAATGTACCTATAACACTGAATGGTAGTTTTTTTATTTTATTGAGAGCCTGTATGGTGTAGTGATTAAGTGCACAGACTGTAATCTGGGAGAACCGGGTTTAATTCCCCACTCCTCCACTTGCACCTGCTGGATGACCTTCGGCAAGTCGTAGTTCTGATAAGAGCTGTTCTTGAAAAAGAGCAGTTTCTGTCAGAGCTCTCTCAGCCCCACCTACCTCACAGGGTGTCTGTTGTGGGGAGGGGAAAGGAGTTTGTAAACCGCTCTGAGACTCCTTTGGATAGTGAAGGGTGGCGTATAAATCCAACCTCCCCCTCCTCCTATTTATATCTTTCATGGTCTTATGCCCATTGAACTAAACCGAAAGGCGAAACCTCAGGTCAGGCCAGCTTTTCCCACTAAACTGGCGGCAACCGTAATTAAAATTCAGACTTCAGCCGCAAAACTGAAAAGCTGGTCCTGAAGTACCCTTTGACACCTGCAAAGAAAACTGAAACGTTGGTCCTGAAGTACCCTTTGGCACCTGCAAAGAAACTTGCTTGTATGGCGGAGGTGTGCAGACATAAGTAAAGGCAGATCGAATCTCTGCAGCAAGAAACCTCCTGCGGTACATCCACCTTCCAAGCAGCTCTACCCTTCCCGAACTCTTGCCAAGTAGCGAAGCTCCCCCGACTCGTTCACCCTAAACCGCTGGCTTCCACTTCTTAGTGTGCGGGTGGATACTCTAATTAAACGCTCTTTGCCTTCGGGACCCGAGGCCGCGCTCGGGCCGGGACGTTCCGAGGCTTCCTCCAGCCCACCCTAACCCACCCCCCTATCGCAGAAAGCCTCCGACAGATTCCCTTACCAAACTGGACTCCATCGTCCACGCCGGCCACTCGCTCACGGACGGAAGCCAAAGACCGTCGCCGGGCAAGCTCCAGCTCGCCTGCCCTTCCCCCAGCCTGTAAATCCTGCCTCTTCTCGGCCGGCAGCGCACCAACTCCTCCTCCCTTGCCCCGCTCGCCGGCGGCTTCGGAGGCCGAAGTACGTCCCTTCGTGGCAGCGTTGCCGTCGTTTGCCGTGTGCGGGGAACCTCCCCGCCTCCAGGCAGTCCCCGCGGCGAGCCTCGGCGGACCACGGCGGGGCTTCTGGCTCTTCCCTCTCCGCGCTTCCCGCCTCTTTCCCACCGTACCTGCTGCAGCCTCAAATAACACCTGGACGGCCAGGTGGGGGGGGGGGGCGCTTGACGTCGCGCTTTGCCTGTGGCTATTGTGACTGGACAACGGCATCTCAGGGGATGGACTAAAAGGAAGGAGATCAGACGCGAGAGGGGGCATTAGCTCCTCGGAGTTGAAGACCGCCTTCCCGAAGCCCAGGGAGCCGGGGGACCATTTCGCCCTCCCCGCGCGGCAGCAGGCGCCAGGATTGCCCATTGGAAACAATGGGAGGGCGGCTCCAGCAGCGGCGGCGGCCATAAGTTTTTTAAAAGCCCCTAAAGAGAGCTGCTGGAGCCAAAACGACCTCTCGCGTATGATGTTCGAGCGGCAAGGCCGCTCGAACATCATACGCGAGAGGTGGAATTTGCCCTTAGAAGTTCAAGGCAGCCATTCCGAAGCCCAGGGAGCCGGGGGAACATTTCACCCTCCCCCCGCGGCCATTGCCGCAGGCGCCAGGGTTGCCCATTGGAAACAATGGGAGGGCGGTTCCAGCAGCGGCGGCAGCCATACGTTTTTAAAGAGCCCCTAAAGAGACCTGCTGGAGCCAAAACGACCTCTCATAAGCGAGAGGTGGAGGCCGAGCCGAAACGACAAGGCCGCCACCCAGGGATCCAGGGGAACGTTTCGCAAACTTTGAAACGCAATGTGAAAGGAAGAGCCAATGTGACGGAAACTTTGGAGGGCTGAATCCTCCACCTCATTAGATGCGAAATGTTCCCCCGGCTCCCTGGGCTTCGGAATGGCTGCCTTGAACTTCTAAGGGCAAATTCCACCTCTCGCGTATGATGTTCGAGCGGCAACGCCGCTCGAACATCATACGCGAGAGGTGGAATTTGCCCTTAGAAGTTCAAGGCAGCCATTCCGAAGCCCAGGGAGCCGGGGGAACATTTCACCCTCCCCCCGCGGCCATTGCCGCAGGCGCCAGGGTTGCCCATTGGAAACAATGGGAGGGCGGTTCCAGCAGCGGCGGCAGCCATACGTTTTTAAAGAGCCCCTAAAGAGACCTGCTGGAGCCAAAACGACCTCTCATAAGCGAGAGGTGGAGGCCGAGCCGAAACGACAAGGCCGCCACCCAGGGATCCAGGGGAACGTTTCGCAAACTTTGAAACGCAATGTGAAAGGAAGAGCCAATGTGACGGAAACTTTGGAGGGCTGAATCCTCCACCTCATTAGATGCAGGGAATGTTGCCCTCAGTTGACAAACAGACACAAACAAGCACACAGTTGTAGAGAAAGAAAGGGAAGCAAGGAGACTGAAGACCCTAATAGGCAAGAGATTTCTGTTCAAAGCCCATCGAGCACGGCTTACAGATATCTAGATCTAAATCTGCCACTTGAGGGTGACCTTGAATTCAGGTGAGGCGGAGTACAAATATAAATATTAAATATATTTATTATTAAATTAAAATATAGTATAAATTAAAATACAAAGTAATAAATCATAAACCTAATGGGATTTGTTTCCAACTGCGATGAACAGGGCTGGGGTTTGATGACGCCTCACTGGAGGAACAGGGGCTGTTCTCCGTAAAGGAAGTCGTCTGCCATGACACTAGTAGGTGTCCAGTGGAGCTGGAAGAAGATCTATTCTACGGGGGAGGGGTGTAATGTACTCAGTTCAGACTGCGTGGCCAGTTGGGGCTCCACGCAGTCAAACACAAACTCAAAGAGACAATGGACTATGCGGATCCTAGCCCACTCCAATCAGGGGGCTAGGCTCCCTGCCGAGAGCCTATGGAACTCTCGGTCACTGTAAATAACCTATTGGGAAGTGGGGGGGGTGTTTTGGGTGGCGGTGTCCCGCGAAATATAAGACGGCCTACTCAAAGAGACAATGGACTATGCGGATCCTAGCCCACTCCAATCAGGGGGCTAGGCTCCCTGCCGAGCCTATGGAACTCTCGGTCACTGTAAATAACCAATTGGGAAGTGGGGGGGTGTTTTGGGTGGCGGTGTCCCGCGAAATATAAGACGGCCTGCCAGCTGGGCAAAGTCGTCTTGTTCCTGATTGAATAAAGTACACTTTGCTGAAATCACTCTCCATCTACATTTGTTCCTCATATTTGAGGAGCATGAGGCGAAGAGTCAAGCCTGCCGGGTTGCTGCAGGGATAGGTGTCAGTGGCTGCGGGGGGGGGCACGAAAGACTGATGATCTGTGAGGAGTGGAATGACAGAACCAGGGTGTAGCAGGAGTGTTCAGGGACTGGGATGACAGGGCCAAGAGTGGAATGAACACTCCTGGTGCACTCTGGGGCTGTCATTCCACTCCGTGGCCTATCGTCCCAGAACACTGCTGCTCTACCCTGAGGCCATCATTCCACTCCGTGGCCCTGTCATTCCCTCCTGCTCCACCCTGGGGCCGTCATTCCACTCTTGGCCCTGTCATCTTAGTCCCTGAACACTCCTGCACCAACCTGGGGCTGTCATTCCACTCTTGGCCCTGTCATTCGAGTTCCAGAACACTCCTGCTCCACCCTGGGGCCGTCATTCCACTCTTGGCCCTGTCATCTTAGTCCCTGAACACTCCTGCACCAACCTGGGGCTGTCATTCCACTCTTGGCCCTGTCATTCGAGTTCCAGAACACTCCTGCTCCACCCTGGGGCCGTCATTCCACTCTTGGCCCTGTCATCTTAGTCCCTGAACACTCCTGCACCAACCTGGGGCTGTCATTCCACTCTTGGCCCTGTCATTCGAGTTCCAGAACACTCCTGCTCCACCCTGGGGCCGTCATTCCACTCTTGGCCCTGTCATCTTAGTCCCTGAACACTCCTGCACCAACCTGGGGCTGTCATTCCACTCCGTG